GCTGACCTGTTCCAGTTATTCATCAACTTTTGTGAAAATAAATTCTTCCTGTTTGTCCAAAAATTGTCCGGCATAATCCTGATCCAGTCTTACCCATGCTTTGTCTGAAACTATTGTTTGAATTTTTTTGTATCTTACAAACCATCTTTTATATCTATTTATATAATGTCTCATTTGACTTCTCCTTTTGAGACTGTAGCACTCCAGGTTATCTAGACATTCTTCTTAGTTTTTCCCTCAAACACCTTCGGCTGTATGTTGTGGAAACCCATCGCCATGCTTAAGAGTATCTAAACTATACTGAGATTTCCACTCACATCATCTAAATTGGTAATTACTCATTTGTCTGGAAAGGAATATGCCCTCTGCTTATCCAATTCCAGAAAGTATCAGGTGCATTTTGGCAAGAACCAAGCCTTAGGGACCCCAGACTGTGTGTTGGGATACTGTTGGAGTTTGACCAGCTAAAATTGCATAGGTTACAACTTATCCAGCTGGACCAGCCTACCCGTTAGGGCTTTGGCTTGCAAGGTGAACATGGAGCTGAGTGGGAAAATCCCTGCTCCCAGTGGCTGGTATGCTTTTTCAAGACTTGCCAATGAGTCAGACTGGCTGTGCTGTCATCATGGTGCTCTTCAATAATATGGACCCATCTGGCTGATGAGACGCCACAAAGGAATGACTTAATTATGACATTCTGTTGACAAGCATGTTACAGTAGCGTCAGCTCAACCCCAAGGAGACCCAGCTTACCTCCTCCACAGGGAAGATAGTCACTCATTCTTCATTAGACATCTGACAAATACAGGTTTGAGGTATGACTAGGTGGATGGTAGGTACCAGCTACTCTTTACAAGCTTCCTTTTGAGTAGCACAGGTCAGCATGAAATGGATGAGATGATCGGTCCAGATTCTTCTGTCCAGCCGGGCACACATCCCTATCCATTGAGCAATGGTTCCACCAATTGAAAAATGGATCTTCAGCCATAGCAATATACTTACTAAACATACTTACGCATTCTGTACTAATGAAGGTGGATACCAAGCCCTGGATATATGAGTGGGTGTTCATGAACCCAGACTCCAAGGTAACACCTTCCAACAGCTATTGTGCTAAGCCTCAACAACAACAAAACAACAACAAATTACATTTGCGTAGCGCTTTTCACGTCAGGAGGTCGTCAGGAGAGTATTAGGCGCAAGTTGGCAAGAGCCAAGGCTTGGTGATCCCAGAGTGTGCGTTGGGGTACTCCTGGAGTTTAAACAGCTAAAATCACATTGCTTGGCATTGAGAGTGCTGTGAGTTCAGCTAATGATAGGGCTTTGGCTTGTAGGATCAACAAAGCTAAGTGCGAAGCATCCCTGCCTCTAGTTTTACTCATGTCCTGATATACATTTTGCTGCTCACTGCATTTGTCGCAAAATACAACCTAACCACTGACAGTGACATTTTAGGGATGCTTTTTCTTGTGCTGTATGCATTTTCAATGGTGAAAGTCTCAAGTGCCTAAATTTACTTGCAACTTAAATAGGGGACAGACATTTGAATTGTTCAGCACAGCATGTGAACGCTTGCATTAAGAAGATTTCACCAAATTACGTTGGATACAGAGGGTCTAACTACTCACAATGATATTAAGTCAGTTTGGCTCAGTAGTAGCATTCTCGTCTCTGAGTCTGAGATGCTGTCCTTTGATGAGACGTTAACTGAGGACCCACGTGGCTGTTCAGGTGGCCGTTATTATTATTATTATTATTATCCCAAGGTGTGCTTGACAGTCAGGGATCCACACTCCAATTGGTCGTTGGGATCAGGAGGGGTGGAGGGCGGGGAGGGTACGGATAGGAGGGTGATCGAAGGCACGGTCAAAGAGGAGGGTCTTTTTTTTAAAATCAGTCATTTAATGGAACCTGTCTTCAGTGGGGTGGAAGGATCATTCTCATTGCTCTCCTCTCTATTGTCTCTAGGGCTCGGGCAGCCCACTTATAACTCAGTGACCAGAACCGTATTGAGTTCTTCAAGTGTGACCTGAATAAAGCACTGTGAAGTTTCAACAAGACATCTCTGGGGATCAGAACTCAACTGATTTTGCTCAGCATCCTGTTTGCCTTGTTTATTCTTGCCTCATGCTAGTGTTGATCAAAGCCTCCTGAAAACGATAAAGTTACTGGGGATTTTTGTAACTTAAACTGTATTCGCTTCTGGGAATCCCCTGGGCTAACTTATGAAACTTTGCCTCCAAAGACTCATAACTTAGTGCATTGGTCATGAGATTGCTTGCTGATCATGCAGGTTTCACGACAGGTCATTTTTTCCAGTTTCCGTGCTGCACTAATCTTACCATTTTATCCACCTACCTATTAGACATGAATCAATTCATACTCCTAGGTCTCTGTCAACTTCCTTTGTCAAAGTTTATCCAATCTTGTTTGAGCCTGACATGCACGGAAACCCATCGCCGGTCTTAAGAGTATCTATTACCAGATTTAAATTTCCACATATGCGTGGAAATTTCCATTTACCTAGAGGGATGCAACTTGCTTATCTAATTCTGGAGAGTATTAGGCGCAGGTTGGCAAGAGCCAAGGCTTGGTGACCCCAGAGTGTGCGTTGGGGTACTCCTGGAGTTTAAACAGCTAAAATCACATTGCTTGGCATTGAGAGTGCTGTGAGTTCAGCTAATGATAGGGCTTTGGCTTGTAGGATCAACAAAGCTAAGTGCGAAGCATCCCTGCCTCTAGTTTTACTCATGTCCTGATATACATTTTGCTGCTCACTGCATTTGCCACAAAATACAACCTAACCACTGACAGTGAAATTTTTAGTGATGCTTTTTCTTGGGCTGTATGCATTTTCAATGGTGAAAGTGTCAAGTGCCTAAATTTACTTGCAACTTAAATAGGGGACAGACATTTGAATTGTTCAGCACAGCATGTGAACGCTTGCATTAAGAAGATTCCACCAAATTACATTGGATACAGAGGGTCTAACTACTCACAATGATACTAAGTCAGTTTGGCTCAGTGGTAGCATTCTTGTCCCTGAGTCTGAGATGCTGTCCTTTAATGAGACGTTAACTGAAGACCCGCCTGGCTGTTCAGGTGGCCGTTAAAGATCCTATGGCATTATTCAAAGACAGAAGTGAGTTTCTCCCGTTGTCCTGGTCAACAATCCCCCAACTAAAATTGATGACTCGTGCAATGGCTGTTTTTACGACATTGCTGTGTGCAAACTGGCTGCCACCGTTTACCCACAAAATACAAAGAAAAAGCGATGAAAAAATCTCCCTCCCTCAGCAGAAGAATTTAAGAGCTGAATATTCCAGATGAGAGTTGTAGAGAGTAAAAGTTGGTACAAACTGTTTGATTACAGACTGCCTCATTGCAGTGAGCATTGTGATGGTGAACAGGAGCAATTCTGAGTGCTACCAGTAGAGGGTCCTGACAGCCTGCTTGTTAGCCAGCAATGAAAATCGATTTAACAAAACCATTTTAGGGAGGTGGAAGATGAAAGGAAAGTTTATGTGGTTATTTATTGAGGATAAATGAAACCTGAATAGAAGGAAGTTGATGCTCAGCCTGATGGGTATCCTCCTGGTTGATCAATTTGTAAATTATCACTTCACTTTAGTAAGTGTACTGTGGAACGACTCAACATGCAATGTACGTCTTAAGCTGGGAATCTGTACTCAACTGATTTGGTCATATAGCTCTCAAATCTGTTTGCTTTGTTTATTGCTGCCTCATGTGGTTTGGACATGGTGAGCGAAAGTGACTTTCTCGGATAGTATAGCTCTCTCCCATCCAAAAAGTTTATGCACCTGTTATTTTTAGCTTCTGTATACAATTCCTTATTCTTATCAGTACTGAATTTCATTTTCCAGTAATCAGTGATTTATCTCCAGAAATTCAAAACAACAAAAAATGACATTTGTAAGTGCTTTCCACGTCGGGAGGATGTCCCAATGTGCTGGGCAGTCAGGGACCTCACGGTTTCAACCTTAAGATTATCGTGTTGAAATTTAAGACCATGTAGAAATTTGGAAAGTTTCTTTAAATCTTCAAAAGAGTTCAAAGTCAGTTTTTCCCAAGTCTTTTTAGGAACTACAGATAAATGACTTCTAAATTAAGACCTTAAATTAAAAAGCAATCAGAAATTTTGACCTAAAATGGCTGGATATTGTTGCTGCTTAAATATTACCAGATATGGTATTAGTTCAGGATATGTAGGTGTCAGCTTGGCTCACTTGGTAGCCACTCTCATCTCTATTTCAGAAAATACTGAGTTCAAGCCCCATGTCTGGAACTTTAAACTCAGTCTAGGCTGATACTCCAATACTTGGTGAGTGCTGCATTATTGGAATTGCCTTCTTGTAGATGGTATGCCAAACTAAGGTGGCACTGTTCGATAAGAAGGGAGTCGATCCACCAGATAAAATTAAGCATTCATTTTATGGCTGTTTGTGGGATATTGTATGATATATTATATGATACCAGTTATGAGGAGATACTAGAACAGCTGGGATTGTTCTCCTTAGAACAGAGCAGAGGGGGAGATTTAATTATGAGGATTGTTGATAGAGTAGATAGGGAGAAACTGTTTTCAATGGCAGGTGGGTTGGTAACCAGAGGACATAGATTTAAGATAATTGACAAAAGAACCAGAAGGGAGATGAGGAGAAATTATTTTACGCAGCAATTTGTTACGATCTGGAATGCACTGCCTGAAAGGGTGGTAGAAACAGATTCAATATTAACTTTCAAAATGGAATTGGATATATGCTTGAAAAGGAAAAATTTGAAAGGTAAGAGCAGAGGGAATGAGACTAATTGGCTGCTGCATTTGCCTACAAAATTACACAGTCACTACACATCACAGTAAATCCTGTGAGGGGCTTTGAGCCATTTCCTCATCATGATAAGGTGCTATATTTTTGCTACTTGTTATGAACCATGAATTACAATTTTTGCTGAGTGTTTTTCCTTTGTTGTTCTTTCAGTTACCCACATTGTAACTATCAGCGGCGTCATTATAATGATTTTCATCATAATAATTAGTCTCTGCTGCTTCCATAAATGCCGACAAGTGAGTACCTTTTTATTGAAAAACGTATTTTAATAGATATTTACTGAGTGTAATGTTTTACATTGTGAGTAATTGGCTTAGATGTAACAAATGAATTACACTTTGTTAGTTGCTTTGGAACATGAAATATGTTAGAATCAGGAAAAGACTATTAGCCCATCTCGTCTACCTGTGTTGGTTTTCAATGCCATTTTTCCATCTGCTCCATAAATGCGGAGAGTTAGAAATTACCTCTTGCTGCTGAGAGTAGTGTCTTGACAACACTACATACTCACAATTACTCACATACATTCACACGCAATACACTCACACACCACAGACTCACATGCTGCACACTCACACAAGAGGTACTTACATACCAAAGCATAGTTACACACTCTTACAAGGGGGAACAGAATCATGCTTAGAAGAGTGCAGGTGACCAGACGTCTTAGATGTGATTACTTTACACTGAGATTGGTGATTACATGGAATAGGCTAACCATCAAAGTAGTGGAGGCAGATTGTGTGCAACTTTAAGAGACAAGTAGATAGTTAGATGGCAAAGTAATCTATTACAGATATGAAGAATGGAGTTGTGCAGAATTATTTCTTACTCTGGGAGGGAATGGATAGACTGCAATAGTCTCTGCTGGTCCTGTACACCCCTATGTTCCTATGTAAAGGTGTGTTATTGTTCTGCACTTTCACAGAGAGCTTCCTTCAACCTGCACACACAGGGATATGGAGATGCCGACATTCCCTTAAATTGTCCAGTCCCCACAGGAGCTTTTGAACCTATTGAAGGTATGTCGTTATTATAGATGCGCTGCACATGTTTAAAGATTAAAACATTAATCACAGTACTTACACACTACTTGTGAAACAGAATTCTGTAGAGGGGAGATGAACACAGATGTGCTGCAGTGTAGTCACTGTTATTAATATATCTGATATCCTTTGATCTGTGAAAATGAACATTGTTAACTCTGTCACCAGCCATGCTTCTTTATTGGGATAGCACTGGATATGGTTATAAGTTAAGGTTCCTTTTTTGGTCAGTCAAGTATTTGGCCCATCAATATGCTTAAGAGTCTCTTAAGAGTAAGCTAGGGTGTGGGTGTTCAAATTACTTCATAAACAATGAAAGCCTAATTCCAGTTGTCTATAAGGGAGGGGTGGATTAATGTCTTTCAGTTACTTTTAACCATGTTGAATTTTTGTGCAATATGTGCTGATCATCTATTACAATCTGTCCTGAAAAATAAGCATATAATAGGCATATTCAGGGTTTTATAGGGACCATTGAATATAAAAACAATGAAATAAAGTTCAATTATAAACCAAATACATTTGGCATGTGGAACATTGTGTGGACTGTGTTCTTGAGAACCCAATATAGAAAGGATATTAGAGCCATAGGAAGGCTGCCGTGTGGCTCACATGGATAAATACCAGGGATGAAGAGTTAGGCTTGAAAAATTGGGTTTATTTCCACTGGAAGAGAGAATGGTAAAGAGAAGATCTGATAGAGATCTTAATGCTTCTGAATGATTTTGAGAGACTCAATAGTGAAGGATGAATCAAGTCGTTTTTTATTTCCATCTCTCCACTGTTGTATCCAAATTTTATTTCCTTTTAGACCAAAAAGAGAAAAAGGGTGATGAGCAAGTGCTTGAAGACAAGGCCACTAATGATAAAGCTTCAGTGACCAATTCCTGTTTGACGGAAGAAAATGAGAAGCAGAACAACTGTGGGACTGAAAAGAACCACAACTCTGGTAAATACTGTAAAGCATACTGTGAACGGAGAGTAACTTTGCGTAACGTAAACTAAGGAAGTCTCTGGTCTTAGGAGCCAGCAGGAAGAAATCTCTCCGAAATAAGATCATTCATTTCGTTTAAAGCTTGTTTTCCAGCAGAGTAAAATGTTGAATGTAAAAGGGGGAAGATGCAGCTCTTTTTCAGAAGTTTTCTGTGACAATGACTGTGCAGGGTGTTGCTTAATTTCCAACCAGTATCTGCTGAAAAGGGCTGACAAACTGTTTTCACGGCTGGGAACAAGGAAGTTGTTGCTACTCACTCGCTAACAAACACCACAATACTGACATTCATCATTTTTGGGGGAAGCCTTAAAAAATAATGATGATATGGTCACTTAATCCATGACTGTCTATGGGACACATCACTGCATAGTTTCATCCACAAAATATACAGTCGATTCACTTTACAGTATATTCTGTGACACGTTTCGAGACAGCTCAATAACGTGATAGGTGCTATATCAAATGCAAAGGTTATTATTATTAATCTGTTCTCTGTATGTCTTTGTGGGATGTTTGCTAACAACATTTTGTGAAAGACAGGTTTTGAAGGGTAGGTTTTAATTTCACGTTCTGTCCTTATCATAATTATTCTTGGTGATAAATATCACATCACAAAATGACAAGATCGGTTTGGATGAAGAACGCCCTTTGACCCATCTGATCTCATCCCTCCAGAACACGCACACCACCATCCCCCCATCACAGCATCAAGCTGCTTTATAAATAAGTCCAGTGTCCTAACCTCAACCACCTTTCCTGGCAACCTGCTGATTACATCACATCCTGCATCAAACTCCCCCCTCCCTCCCATTGATTTCACCTGAGCCTTAAATATTTTCAGTGGAAACCTGGATTCAGTGGCCCTGCTTTTGTCTTCATTAATACGCACCGGGTGAGGAGTGATCTCCTGGAGCAGAATAGGGATGGTTACAGCTGTCCTCCACTCAGCTCCCCAGGGCAACGCGGTGATATTAAAACAGTGACTTGACAGGAAGCCTGGCCTGCTTGAGGCTCACTCTGCTTGGCTAGAGATTCAATGCCAAGTTGGGTTGAGTTCAATGATGTGCACCTGTGAGGCGTTTCAGTTTCTTTTCAAATGCAGACGGTTACCACACGCATTCAGGCTCCTGCGCCCAATGTGCTCGTGTGGAAACCCTGGGGGTTTTGAGGAAATCAGAGCATCTGTGTCTGGAGTCAATGCAACCCAGCTGGTGCCAGTGAATATTGGTTTAGGTGTCTCACGAGTGCCTTTTGAATATATATTATATACATATACAAAGATATTTATGGACAGTAGTTGTGAAAGTTTCCTGTGGTTTCAGGATCAGTATTGCTGAGTAGACTGAGGGAGTTCAGCATACAAAGTATATCCAAGGTTGGTGGGTGGGAGCCATGTGTTGCTAAACAAGGTCTCTGCTTTGTTAGGAGCAAATTCCAACCTCCCCAAGGTGAATTATACAGGAATTTTATGAGCAATGCCATTTTTATATAAAATAAAAGCTTTGCAATAATAATAATAATCATCCTTGCATTTGATATAGCGCCTTTTCAGGTCTTCTCGATGTCTCAAAGCGCTTCACAGAATATACTGTAAAGTGAATTGACTGTATATTTGTGGGCAAACGTTGCAGCCAATTGCGCACAGCAGTGTTTCACAAACAGCCGTGGATTGAAAATAATCAATTTACTATTGTTTTGTTTTAGAGGGATTATTATTAGGCGTGTGGAGTAAGGAAACTTGCCCAAAGTTTTGCCCTGCCTGGAATTGAACCCAGGTGTCTCGCTTGCTAAGCGAGTGCTCTAACCACTGAGCTACAGGACTCCACAAAAGGGCCCTTTTCATCCATTTTCTTGTGAGTAATGTAGAGCTAGCAGAATTGTGGTTTACTGACAGAGAGTACGTGTGCGTGCACAGAACTAAAAGAAAGGCTGGAAAATTGATACAAATAGCAATTACATATGAGAGTGAGACAGAAGCAAAGAGTAGGAAGTGGAGAAAGACAGATTAAGCTAAGGTTAGTTTTGCCGTTTTTAAAAATGCTGTTAAGAAATAATCTCTCTGTCATTCAGAGGTTTGAATTGGCGTGCACCTGCTTCCTGTTCAGATGTCAGCACATTTAGACTGTTTTCAGACCCGTTGAGAGCTGGTGATTTGTCTCCCTGTTTCATTGGCAAAACTTGATTGCAGTGATCTATCCAGGATTAGGTACTAACCACGTCTAATATTCACTCAGACAGTTTCCTTCTCATAAGAATATTAACCCTGCAAGCCAGACCCCAACAGGTAAGGTGGTCCTAGCTGGATAAGCAGTGGGAAGCTTGCCAAACAGTGCTCTTGATGTCACTCTATGTGGTTTTAACTGGTTAGACTCCAGCAGCACCCTAACACGCACTCTGTCTAGATGTTCTGTTGCTCGAGCCGGAGTAATAAAATTATAATATATGAAAGCTTCAACTCAACTTTGTAATATTTTATTGGCTTTTTCAGCAACACTTGCTTGTAATACTCTCATCCTTAAACAGACTTGCAGTGCTGAATCTGAGACTACAGCTGTATGGGCCTTGGTGGCTCAGAATAAGATATGCAACTGTGGTTGTTGGCTCCTCAATGTTGCAAATGTGTGCTTAGTGTATGTAAACACGCTGCTGATATTCAAACATGTCTTCATTAACAAGAGGGACTTTGTAGTTCCTAAAGTATTCAATTATACAAAATATAATTTGTGAAGGTTTTCCATTACATTTATGTACATAAATTTGATATATACATTTGATATAGCGCATTTGATATGGCTCATGTCTTCGAGACATCTCAAAGCTCTTCACAGAATATTCTGTAAAGTGAATTGACTGTATATTTTGTGGGCAAAACACAGCAGCCAATTGCGCACAGCAGTGTCCCACAAACAGTTGTGGATTGAGTGACCAAATTATTATTATTATGTTTTTAAGTAATTAAGACAATGAGTAAATAATGCAAATAAGTGCTTTGAGCGGTTACTCGCTTGAAGGGGGCTCTATAAATGCAAGTTGTTGTTACTGCAATGTGTTTAAGGGGAAAATGAATGACTGGGGGCTTGCACTTAAAGAGATCACAACAACCACATGCTTTATACTGTTGTGTGTTCCATGTACAGTTGCAAAACCTAATCCAGCTGTTGCACATCCGAGCAAGATAAATTTGTGGGTTTGTGAATGATGCATTCACAATGGAATCTAACCTATAGTAATCTCACCCCTGGCTGTGTGTTCCTCACACTCTCAGATTTTACTATGAGATTATCGTGACTTTACCGTATTGATCTCCACAATAAACGGATTAAGAAGCTGAGAGAGACGCACACACACAGTGGCACCTCTGGACTTACCTATGAATTTTGTGGTGCGAGTGGCTTGGAATGCTTTAAGGAAAGTACAGACTTTACTGGGGTGTAATAATATACTGAACTGTTGTGATAAGCAAATCTAATCTGTGTTCATCACCCCAGTTTGCTAAAATACAAAACCGATGACCCCGCTACTGGTAGTTGCTATTATTTCACTGCCAGAATTTGCTGAGCAGTTATGCTATAATGTCAGCGAGATGGCCCAGATTCCTCCTTTTATTTTCTTTGGGGTATTTTTTCATTTGATCAGTTGCACATGTTTGGAATGGTGAGTATGGTGATGGGTTTCCTCATGACTGTGTATTTGAAGGCAAATATAAGAGGCAATTTGCATTTCGATAACGCAACTGATTGCCATGAAGTGTAGAACCAATTTACCTGGAAGATCGTTGGTCAGGACACTGGGAGAAACTCTTCTCTTCTCAGATAGTGCCGTACGATCTTTGATGTCTTATTGAACAGGCAGACGGGACCTTGGTTTAATGACTCACTCAAAATATCCAGAAAGGACCCAGTTGCTTAAAAAAAAGAGTTTACAATTTGAATTAAGATTCACTTAATTTCTTCACTTAATCCTTCTCTAGGTCATTGACTGGTGTGTGCAGGAGCCATTCTTTTATGTAGCATTAAAACTGGAATGCTGCTTCAAGCCTATCAATGCAAGTTTTCGATTATGAAGTCTTGTTATATTTTACATTCCTTTCAACTGCCTGAGAATTACCCCAGTACCAGTATTTATCCACTAGGTGTCAGGCAGCTACTATTTTGTTCCAAAGGTGACTTACCATCACTAAAGTACAGGATTTACACAGAGTTACACAGTGATACAACACAGAAACAGACAATTCACTCCAACTAGTCCGTGCTGGTGTTTATACTCTCTACAAACCCCTAACCTATTTCCCTCTCCTATACCCCTATCCCTCATGCATGCTCCAAGATTACTCTTAAATACACAACTGCCTCCTTACTTAAAAAGTTTTCCTGTCAGGAACTGAAAGCAGCAAATCTGTCCTACCTGCAATTGATATTTTGTGCCATTGCCAACAGGAATGGCTGGATTAAAATAGTCAAATTACTGCTAGAATTATATCGAGTTAGAAAATATCTAAAAAGGAGTAAACTATTGGGGTGTGGAGAAGGGTAGGTAAATGGGAATGAAAGGGTTCCTCTTAAAAGAACCAGCATAATTCATGATGGGCTCAATGGCCTTTTGTACTGTACATTTCTATGGTTCTGAAGGCCTATGTGTGGGTACATAGGGTGGTTTATGTGAACTGTGCAGTGTGATCTCTATACATATAGTTCAAATAGATAATCTGAATGCATTGTTTGATTGAAATGACTATTAAATGAGTAGAAGGAAAAGGAAATCACAGGTCAGATTTTCTTAGGCAAAGAAACTAAAGAAGTTCACTTAGAATCACATGCACTTCTGATTTCTATCTGTAAATGTTAATAGCACACTTTATCAGGTATTTGTGCTTAGTAGCACTCTAACTTCAAGTCTGAAGAATAAAAGGATCATTCTGGATAAACGCTCAGTGTCTTGTGGACTCAATGATGGGA